CCCCCACCCCCAGCAGCTTCGGGACTTGGTCAGAGTTTCACAAACCTGACTCCAGCCTCTGGGTTTCCTAAGAGTTCTTAGTAAACGGGGAAGGTCTTTCCTTCGGTAAATGGCTCATTCACGGCCATGGCCACAGCCAGGCTGACAAGTATCCAGGTCAAGTTTCATGCAATTGAATTGACACTGGGACAAGAAAATGCCCATATAAGGCCGAGTTATTCTGGGGTCCTCACAGAGGACTATTTCAGGATTGTTTTCAGGCCTTTTTTAAAACTCTGGGCCGTGGGTACGGTGCATTCAGTCACCGCCTCCTCCAAGTGTCTTTATTCTCTCTTCAGTTGTACGCAAGTCCAAGTTGTAGTTCAGGGGACTAACTTATCTCTTAAAATTTAGCCGTGAATGTCTCACTATTGGATTTATTTCCAAAAAAGGTAAACTTGATTCTTTCTCCCCCATCAGCACATAACTAATATCTACAAAGTGTAATTCATTTTATTGTCTTTGGGATGTGAATTTGTCATGACTTAAGCTGGTTTGAAAGAGCAAAGTTTATCCTTGAAGACACTGAAGGGGAGACGAAAGAAGAGAGTGTTTTTTACTGGCACCAGAGGGTGTAGATTTTACCTTTGATAGTAAACACGGGCTAACCCCTTTCCCTTCCTGCTGAGGTCAGCAGCAGTCATAGCCGGTAAGCCCACGAGAGAGAAACTTTGGCCACTGGTAATAACAATAATTAGCAGCCGGAGCATGCGCAGTAGAATAATTTGGCCCACACCGCATGAGCGCTGCCACAGTGCGTCCCCAGGTGTGTCATCTCCAGGTAGAAACAGCGCATTGCAGAACCTGCCGCTCGCCTCCCCCCTGGTGGTCTCTGACTCTCTCCCTTTGGTTCTGCCCCCGACCCGCAGCAGAGGGCCTGGTCCAGGTGTGTGCTCAGGTGCTGCGTCTGCTGTCTCTGCTGTTTGGACAGATACCTGCGCCATCTCCACCAGGTATGTCTCAGCCACGTGCCCCAGGGACACACAGAGGGGCCCACAGTTGGGCTCCATCTCTCCAGTCAGGGATTGGCAGCTTTTTTTCTGTGACTGGCCAGGTCATGTAACTATTTGGTCTTGTCGCAGCTGCTCAGCTCTCCCGTGGTCGTGGCCAAGCAGCCACGGGCCTGACTGTGCTTCAGGAAAACTTGCTTCTTACGACACTGAAGTTTGAATTCCACAGAATTTTCATGCGTCCAGAAATCTTCTGGGGTTTTTTCTACCATTTTTAAAATGTGACAATTATGCTTAACTCCGGCCAGGGGAAAGTGGGCTTTTGGCTGGGTGTGGGCTGGAGCTCATGGGCCCTGACGTGAGGACGCCAGGTCCCTAGTGCCAGTCTTCAAATTTGGAAAGAAATGCACTTCTCTTTTCAGAAATAAACAGAGGAAGAGGCTTTGGAAACCCCACTGTGATGAATATAATCTTTCAACCGACAGCTCGTTTTCAGTGTCTTCCCAGGAACTATAATTTTCCTCAAATAGGAAAAGAGACACCTCCTGGATTTTTATATACTTCACCCCCTTTCCTGTTCAAGCTACAAATATTCCTTTAAAAATCAGAAACATTGGCCCTGGCTGGCTTGACTTGGTGGTTAGAGCCTTGGCCCGCGGACTGCAGGGTCCCGGGATTGGTTCCTGCCAAGGGCACATACCTGGGCTGCAAGTTCGATCCTGTGTGGGAGGCAACCAATCGATGTGTGTCTCTCATTGACATCTCTCTCCCTACCCCCCTTCCACAATGGAAAAATATCCTCAGGTGAGGACTGAAAAAACAAAAAACTGCCCTGTGGAAGCCTAGGGGGCTCCCTGTGGATGGTGGGGAGAGAAACAGGCGAGGAGGGGGCGGGCCCTGGCCCGGAACCACCAGCGCCCCCCCCCCACCTTCCCACCAGAGCAGCTCCACTCTTACCTGGTTGAGGAGTGGATTCCACCGGAGGCTTCCTCTGAAGACAGGGCTCTGCTCCTGAAGCACATTGACAACCACTGTCTCGTGCATGTTCACATGTGTTTCCTCTGCCTGTTGACGTGTTTTCGGCATTCTTAAATTTCATCTCCTTGTATTTACCCAGCACCTCTCCCCTTGGGAGTTCGAAGGGTGTGTTAACCACACTGTTATTACCCATGTAAAGTAAGGAATCCTTATACAGACGTGCAGGGGGAATGAGTGTCCCTGAGGGACAGAAGGGCTCAGCTGAATCAGTGTTGCAAAGAGGGAGCCTCCTTAGGAGGCCTTGAGCTTGTCAACAAAAATGTAACTGCAGCCAATGAACCGCAAACTGGGGAAACACAGCCTCCAGGGGACACTGAGCCATGTCCCCCCCATGAGGCAAGAGAGAGGTGGGCTTATGTAGAGGGAGCTCCTGCCCTGATCCCCGATTGGTCCATTTCTATACAAATGAGGAATCCAAGTTTGCACACTCTGATTGGTCAGATTTGTGCCTTATGGAGCCACTCTGATTGGTCAGTAAAGGTGCAAATGAGTATATATCTGTGCAGCTCTGATTGGATGGGACAGGCCATAGCCCATTGGTGGAAATAGGATTCCAAGAACTGGGGGCAGCTCAGCGGGCAGGAGCGCAGTGCAGGGGGCTGGCCAGGCAGACTGTGGCTTTGCCTGGAAGGTAGATCCTGCCTTTGAGGCCTCTGCAAACAGTGGCTGCTGGGCTCTGGTTGTGACTTTTGGGCTCAGTGAACCACCACAAGGGGTCCCTCTGGGCAGGTGCATTCCTTCTTGGGGTTGACAACCTAAACCGGCTGTGAGAGCATCTGAGTGGCGTGGCCCCTGCAGCTGACCTGGGCGCCGCTAGGAGGTCTGAGGTTTAAGTGACTGAGAAAGCGGAGGAAGAAGGGAAAGGAGAGAAAGAATTGTGTCCCCTCCGGTGCCAGTCAGCTGCTGGAGAGCCGGGTGCAGTAAGGGCTTGGAAGGGTGCAGGCAATCCTTGCCTAAGGGTGGTCAGCGCTCTTGCTGGCCTCACTTGGCAGGGGACAGAGGAACGTGAGCTGAGGGTGAGACGAGGAATTTAGCCTTTTGAAAAATTTCCCAGCACTGGAGTGAGTCACTGGGGGACGATTTCTCTGGAAATCAGATTTAAAGGGGCCGAGGCCTGTGGTGTTTTCTCCCTTCTGTGCAGCAGGGGCTGGGCAATGCTAAAGAAGGGGGACCCACCCGTGGCCATCAGAACCCAGACCCTCCTCTTGACGTAGCATCAAGGAGCTGGTCACTACCTTAAAGCCTCATCTGTCCTCCCTGGTCAGAGAGGGAGGCCGGTGGAGTTGCTGCACTTTGTGGACACCCAGGCCGAGGCCGGAGTCATTCCCTTGCAGAGTGGGGGTGGGGGGATGCCACCCCCCCATCGTGTCTCATTACTGGTCTGCATCGTAAATACCAGATGTGTGTCTCCCTGAAAAGGTTGTATGTGCGCGTCTGGCACATTTACCTATCCAGCCACCACTTATTTATGCTCTTTTCAGACATTTGACCTCAGGCACGATGGGGGAGGGGACTGTGGTGAAACTGAGTACAGAGCAAAGCCAGGCCTCGTGGGAGTGTCCCCCTGCGTGCACACCTGTCCCTCGGGATGCTGACCTCTGTCCCAGCTCTGGTGCTGGTTCTGAAACCCACCGCTGGGCCCCAGGACGCTTCCCGGGGGCTGCACAGTGCCCCGGATGTTCCAGGTGCCCCCCCCCCCC